GCTCGGGCTGGCTTCATCTCATTACCCTTGGACTACACATAGACTCAACCAAATCGAACCTCCAATTTCGTCAACCAACTTGATTCAGGATCAATCCTCAAGATTCGTCAATCTTCTCGTTTCAGGATCAATACTCAAGCTTCCTCAATCTTCTCGTTTCAGGATTGAATCTCATCTCACATCTCACATCACGTTTCAGTAACGCCTCAATCTCTCTAGGCGCTCCGTACTCCGTTATTTTTGTTGGACTCATCGTGGACGTAGGCTCAATTGAGCTTGCCGTTGGAACGCCGTTGGATCGTCTCATCTTCTTTGTTCTTCGTGGTTTGTGGTCATTCGTGGAACTCACAAGGGTAAGTCTTTTTTACCCCTGCTTGTTCCACCTCACGGTCACCTTCCCCTCCCTCTCTCTTCGCTCTCCCCCCCCCACTCCCCTCGCTCTCCCCTCCCCTCTCCCCTCTCCCCTCTCCCCCCTCCCCTCCCCTCCCCTCTCCCCTCTCTCCTCTCTCTCTCCCCTCCCCCCTCCCCTCTTCCCTCTCTCTCCCCTCTCTCCCCTCTCCTCTCCTCTACCCCCTACAACCCCCCCTACACCCCCCTATTGCTCATTGAGTGTTAAAACAGCTGCGATCAAGCGTTTTAACACTTGAAGTGTGAAACCGCGCAATCGAGTGTTAAACGCTCAATGCATGTCCAGAGTGCTCAGGGACCGTGTTTGGGGGGGAAGGTGGGGGAATGGGGGGTGAAGGGGGGGGGGGCAGGGGTGCTGAAGGTTGAAGAGGAGCAACAGGGCCACATATCTGGCCCTGTTGGAGCAGGATGAAGAGGAGCAACAGGGACACATATCCGGCCCTGTTGAAGAACAAGAGAGGAGAAGAACAGGGCCACATATCCGGCCCTGTTTGAGGTAATTTGAGGTTTCTGGACACCTCAGAAGGCTGCTTATCAGCCGTAAAGCAATGTATTTTGCTGATAATCCTTGAGATAGTGAGATAATAGGCTGATGAGCCTTGAGAGAGCACACAGACAAGCTGACCCCTTCATTGGGCATCATAATAAACATGAGTACTGACATCATCTGGTTTTACATGGTCCTCTGTAGATTATATTTATTACGCCTCTGTGTTGGAATTCTGGCAAGCAATTAGTATTGACCTGGTCTTTTATATGTAAGAATTGTACATCCATCATGAAAGAAATTTATGATGTAAATACTGACCACGGCATGTGAATTATGCAATCTTACTAGAAATTACAGACAATGCCCAAATTCCGACGGTCCACGATTGCGCCATACGCCACCAAGAAGTCCAGAATCACCCTCACCAATGACAACAACCGGAGGTACCGTGACACCCCTCAAGGTGCCCCTTACATCTGCCGAGCCTGTCCAGGGAAGCACCATAACCCACTTAGCTGTGTACGAAACATCCAGTGTCAGCCACAGAGCACATTTCACAGTACGTGAAATGTACCTAGTAACTGCAATAATAATAAATAAATGAATACTGGAAAACACTATACATTGTTGTTAAAATAATAAATAAATAAATATGTATTTACATTTAATCTTAATTCATAATTTATATTTAATAATTTTATAATTAACTGTGAAATCCCCTTGAGTATTGTACATATAATATCACTAGGATTTCACAGAAATATCATAAGAATAAAGTATTAAAACAATGTTTATTCTTATACATTATGTACATATTTTATAAGCCATAAATAATTACATATGTATAAAGAATCAGCTAGTAGAAGCGTGAAATGGATGAGGAATAAGCTATATACATTTATCTGAAGCTTACCCATCCTTGATCACATCATCAGGGCATCAGATTGCATCATAACCCTCCTGGATGGCGTCATCAGGACCCTTTTGTGCTCTAATTCAAAGCTTGCATAATTCAAAGCAGCCTACACGGGAAAGGAGCCCAAATTCTACATGCAAGACTGAATTATGCATGATGGACATGCATTTCTCATGATCACAAGCTTGCATAAGCAGAGTTACACGTATGCAACTAACTCTACAATTGCACAGCCCCTGCACAGTAACTGTAGCCTTTTCAATTACGTGAGAAATAGGCCACAAAACTCAAGTATGCATGTATGATCTCATGTCCTAGGACTTTCCACCCATGCATAGCACTGCACAGCTGCAGCTCCCATCCTTACACGAAATTGTAGAGCTGCTAAGAAGCTCCCTAGTGCCCTGAGGGCCTCTCCTCTTCCCCTGAGCCTCCTGTAGAATATTTAAGCAGCCCTGATTCCTACCTTTTCCCCCCAGGAAATTCTAGTAGCATCAAACCAACACTTGTACCGTGTTTATTAGTGATTCAAACCACCAATAACCTTACAACCCAGCTACCTTAGACCTAAATAGATTTACTTTGCTCAGATTCAAGGCATTTCTACTTATCTCTATTGCATAAAGAATTATCCCCCTGGTTAAACAATTCTGGTCCTTAAGTGTACATACACTTATTCATCTGGATTGTTGTTAAAAGACTTATCCCAAGTGAGCTGAAGAAGTCCTCACCTTGGAAGCCTATTAATCCATGCAAGAGGATTGATCCGGATGCCCAATTGAATAATTGGATGAGTCAGCAGTAGAAGTACCATTCCTCACTGACTCCTCCCTGTTTCTTCTACAGGTTGAGGGATATAACCACGAATAAAACCTTCTCAATTCACTTGTTGTTAACACTCAGAGCACAACCCTTACAGGTTAGTAGCATAGAGGCTGACATCCAGATGCGATGCCCTGCACTGCCAAGTGAGGCTGGACTTCCCGCACGGACAGGTCTCCTGTGTGGGGCTCAAGATTCTCCTGAGTGCGTACAAAACATCGAGATTGGATGCCCTGCGTTAACTCAGGGGAATGAGCCCTCTCAGGCCTTGGTGGATGGTGAAGCGGGCATTCTTACGGGATCACCAGCCAAAGGTCACATCATTGTGGACAACTCATTGGCTATTCCTCTACCCATATCAACCACATTCCTGGCCGAAACTCCAACCCCCACCAAAATGACACCTGCAAATTTACCCACCGTAACTCTATCCACCTCAATCAACTCACAGGCCAAGGCACTGTCCATGTCTCACAAGTTGCCTTGTGGATTTCAACACCTCTCTCCAGAATCTCCTACCGATGAATCCCCTGCAGAAGAATCCTCAGCCAAAGAAGAGTTCTCCGCAGAAGAAACCATCTCTGAAGAAGAAGAATCCACTGCTGATGATGAATCCTCCACCAATGATGAATACACTGAAGATGAAGATGAATCCGCCACCGATGATGAAGCCCCGCCGATGATGAATCCGCCGCTGATGATGAACCTGCCACCGAAGCCGAATCTGCCGCCAAAGACAAACCACCTACCAATGATCCACCCCTCACTAAGAAACATCTCCGTTTCAAAGCCTTCAAGGCCCAAAAGCAGAGGGAGAAACGAGCCAAAGCCAATCAAAAATTTGTCGAATGGGATTTGGATGATAGTCTCGCCTCCCATGTATGCACCAAAAACCTCGAGGCTCTGATTCGAATGTTCTCAGATAGTGTGATTGCCTGGAGAGAAGAAGCTCGGAAGAACATTATCGCCGTGGTCAAATTCCGCCCATTCAACATCATGGACGAGGAAACAAAGTCTCAATATCAGAAAGTCGCCCACCACCTGATTCAACAGACCAGATTCCAAAACCCAAACAAAATCAACGGTCCAGCATTATTGGGAAAAATGTTCAGTCTTGGTTGGTGCAAGGGATTTGAGAAGGACACAATCATTGGCGTCACGGGCATTGCGGAGAAGGTAGCCCGAGACCCTGAAGGATACAAAGAGCTTCAATCACAGGTCGATGATGTTAGTCGCTTTGTTGGCCAACAATTCGAGGCCCTCTCCCAACCTGTTTATCAAGAAGTCAAAAGGCAAAATAACGCGATTGGGGCCCCAGGTTTAACACCTCTTTTCACCAGTGCCCCAGGGGATTTCACGTGTCATTTATCATGCACCTTCAATAATTTCTCAAAAAAGCCCCACACGGATCGAGATAGCTCGCCATACACGTTTGTCACATGGCTTCCGATTGACAAAACCACAGGGGACTTAATAGAAGATGATTTGGACGGATACGGCAGTGAATTCGTTTTCCCCAGACATGGATTCGGTATTGACTTTTCTGGATTTAAAGGAGTTGTTGAATGTGCTTGGAGAGCCAGACACATTCACCATCTCACTGTTCCCTCGACAACTCCTGATTCTTCTCCGCATGCTCAACTTGGCTACTCTGTCCAACTCCCGACAAAAACCAAAGAGGTAATCCAAAAAAACCAAAAGGGTGACTATAAGAAAGATCCCAAAAAGAAACACTGGAAAGTTCGTGACATGCGTGTAATCCTCAATAACTCTCAAACTTATCCCAGACCCAAAAAAAGACAACAAAATGATGACGAACCTTCCTCTGAAAATAACAATGACAACAAACCTTTGTCGAAACGACCCTCCAAAAAATGTCAAAGACGACAGCCCTCCAACAAACGTCAAAGACATTAGCTTCTCTTTTATGTGATTGACTTTCCTTTTATCTGTTGTCATTGTGGTCCTCCAATATCCATAACTTCCTTATTTCTTACAACAAAACTCCTCAAACCAAAAAAAGGCCCTGTTTTCTCTTAACTAACCTCATTTCTCATCATTTCATTTTCCTGTCTTGCTCTACAAACTGACTTTCTATCAATTTTCTTTGTGGTCGTCATCAAAAAAAAGTAATTCATCTGTGAGCCTGGGTCTCAATAGTGACAGCAGGACACAAGGTTTTTGGGGGGCACCTTTAAATGTATTTCTAAAGATAAAGAAAATATAAGTAAAAGTAGAAGAGAGGAAAAGAAGAGGAGGAAAAGAATAAGATAATCTTTTGTTTCTTTGTTTATTTTCTGAAGAATATTAATTTATGGCAGTCTTACTGTCCCTCTTGGATGGCTGCAGACAGTCTTATTTTCCTTAGTAGGATAAGAGGTTGATTACCGTCTCCAACTCGGGGTTGTCCATTATGGTATCCTCTTCTTGTGGGGCTAGAGGTTGTTCTAGGACTGGAAATTGGGTCGGATGGTTTTGACGAGGGATCAAAGTCGACACTGGTCTGCCCATTTCGGTATTTGTATTGACCGGGAATGTTAAGCGGTCTATAGGCCGAGGTACTGGGGTAGATCGGTTGGACATTGTTTCTAGCGCTAATGAGGTCGCTCGAGAGTTGATTAACGCCGGCGAAATTCCTCTCTCCGACTGTGAAACCTCTGCCGCCGGTCGTCTCATGGCTGTTTCTGCGATTGAAGGTAGACTGTTCCCTAAGCTTGCGAAGACGCTCGGCTGCTGCGGGGCTGAGGACGTATCTCTGGTCATTTCCTCGCTGTAGTCCAGCAAGTCCGGTTCGTTCTCTGGGCTCTGACGGCGATCCTGGTTCTCTTCTTGATTGCTCTTGGCGTTGGAGGTCTCTTTGTTGCTGTTCGATTGAGATGTTCCTTCCATTTCTAAGGTGGGCACCCATTTTCGTAGCGATTTTCAGGAAGATCGAATCCAAAAAAAAGGAAAGGAATCGGACTAGTTCAGTCTCCGAAATGGTAGCTCGCTCTCTTAGATTAGGATTTCGAAAGGTAAGGACAGACCTTTGTTTTTCCTATTTCGAGGTTTGCGCTTGTTCTTTTTTGGTTTGTTGAGGTATGTAGAAACTTCCGGCGTCCACTCGGGGTAGCGGATTGGTTCGGTCTCTAACGGTAGGTTTTTCTTCTTCTTTCTTGTTCTAGGATTTCCGGAGGTATTGATCGGAGTCCAGGCTTTAGAAGATATTAAGCTGCCGTTTTTCGGAGGGACGATCTTCTCTGGTTCTGAGTTGTCGGGTTCTATCTCTGATCCTGACGAGATCGTCGATAAATCTGACGATAAGTTAACCGAAGGTTCTGGCGAGGAGTCAGGTATGATCCGTCTAGATTTCTTCACTTCGCAAAGGAGGGTAGCGGTTTCGACCGATGAATGATGAATGGTGAAAAATAAAGAAAAAGGGACAAGCAAGTTGGTTAATGACTCTTGTCTTGGTAGAATGATCGATTATGAGAAAAAGTTCGAGCGCTCCGCGATGGGTTTTAGAGTTTTTGGCGAGCGCTTCGCGATGAGGATTTATGATATCGGTTTTGAAAACAGAAGAAATCAAAATTTTTTTTTTTTTTTTTTTTTTTTTTTTTTGAATGCAATTATTACATGTAAATATATAATTTCTTTTGATCTTATCTTCCTGGAGATATAGAGACGGAAGAAAAAAAAAAATTTTGTATTTTATATTTTTTATGGCCTGATTGATTAAGTTTGAAAGTATGATTATGAAAGAGGTCTTTGGAATAGAATTTCCCGATGAGGCCCCCAATTGTGAGCCTGGGTCTCAATAGTGACAGCAGGACACAAGGTTTTTGGGGGGCACTTTTAAATGTATTTCTAAAGATAAAGAAAATATAAGTAAAAGTAGAAGAGAGGAAAAGAAGAGGAGGAAAAGAATAAGATAATCTTTTGTTTCTTTGTTTATTTTCTGAAGAATATTAATTTATGGCAGTCTTACTGTCCCTCTTGGATGGCTGCAGACAGTCTTATTTTCCTTAGTAGGATAGCTGTTATAAGCGGAGCTAACTCTGACGCCTCCAAATCAACAGAAACTGAAATGGGTATTGACACTGATAAATCAGGTCAACCACAATTTTTTAGATCAAAGATCAAGGCTCTTTAAAGGGAAACCTATGTAGTTTTCAGTTGTACTACCAAACAGTAAAAGAAGAGATAATAGAAGCTAAGGCTTGCTTTCTTTGATCAGGGCTTTGGTTTGAGGAGGAGTGAAGAGAAACTGAGAGAGACAGAGAAAAGAAACAAGCAGAAAGATGCTAGCTTAACTTAAGAGAAGTGACTTACTAATGATACCAATGACACTGAGTAGTGGGAAAGGTAGGAAAAGTGAGGTCCTTCTGGTGGATAAGTGTTTGCTTGATCTGGGTCTGGTTGTTGGTGTTCTGTGTTGGTCTGGAGTCTGAAAATCCTCTGGAAGCGGAATCAACAAGCTCAGAGAGGATTTTCAAAGTTGGATTATGTAATCTGGCATGTACATGTGGTAGAGGGAGCTGAAACCTAAGGTTGGAATAATTCTTGGAGTACTGTGAATTATTACAAAGTCAATGAAGGAATGGAGTTGGGTAAAAGTGGTCAGTGGTGACTAGGGTTAATTTTACACCAGGAATCCATTTCTGAAGTCAGAAAGGTTAAAAGTCTTAAGATAAAAAAGATATGATAATATTTTGAATAGAAATGGGTAGTTTTGGCAGTCTTTTGGCCAACTTGGTTGGCTCTAAGGCTGACATCATCAAATATTTTTTTTTTGTCTTGATGGCACTTTTATTTCCAATATGCGAAGAAACCGTTGAGTTAAGTCATACTACAACAAGATAATCAGAACAGGAGGCTATTTGAAAAGCTTTGCAATCCTCTTTATGTCTTCCATCGATTTCCCAGAGTCCAAACACTTCACCAACACCTCCATCCTCTTCGCTTGAGCCTTGGGATTTGATTGGCAATCCAGTTTTTGCAACTCAAAATCTCAATATTTTGCCTTCTCCTCCTTCTCCATCTCTAACTTTTTATTGTCCAACTTCATCGAGTGATCCCATCGTTTACCTTCCATTTCTTTACTATGCTTGAATTTTTTATCTTCCAATTTCAGACCGTTATCTTCCTTTTCAATCATCCTGTTGTACTTCATCTTTTCAAAGCCAAGATTCTCCCGAGCGACCTCAGATTTTCCTAGAAATCAAGGAGAAAGGAAGAATCGTTAATTTCCCAGGTAGTTAAAAAGTGAGTGGAATGTAAGATGACTGACCAGAATCTCTTTTCATCGCATATTCTTCGTAGGCCAGAAAAGAGTTGGGAACAGCAGAGGGGCAACCATGGCTTTTGGGATTGATATTCTTGGAGTTTGAGGCTCGGCGCTTTCCTTTTTTTGGAATTGGAGCCGGGGTGTCAGAGATGTCCTCATCGGTATGATCGTCCAAAGCAAGCTCTTTGGGTGTCAAACCAGCGTTCAATCCTGAAGACCTTCTTTTGCGCTTCTTCTTCGCACTTGTTTTCTTCCTTGGGGATATGTACTCAGAATTGTCTTCACCAGAATCGCTCAGAGCAGGTGCCTTGCTTGTAGATTGCACACAATTGCTTTTGTTCTTCTTCTTCTTTGGTGATTTTGCCTGGGTCCCCACGGCCTTAGACTTTGAAGCTGGATCTTGGACAGTCTCACCCAATGGAGTGGGTTCCTGGATAAGAACGATGAAGAAAGTCAATATAGTTGTAGTCTTTTTTGCCATCACTCAACAGTGCAACTTACACCTGTTGCCCCAGCCTGGACACCTGCCTCTTCATCCATTGGAACTTGCCCAGTTGGAGCTTCCGTTCTCTGTTTGACGGGGCAATATCTTTCAAAATCAGTGAACAGATGACTGACAACAAATGAATCCAATTGACTTACATCACCTGTGTTTTCTTGCTCCAGGGCCACGATATTGACTTGTGAAGTAGCATTCTTCAACAAAGGGTGAATAGCAGTGGACTCAGAACTTTGAGATGAATTGTTCTCATCCATCTCATTTGAGGAATCGGAATTGTTGTCCTCAGAAGATGATTCAGATGAATTGTCTTCATCCTCTGCATCCGCCATAAACAACGGATTGACGTCAGGCCGGTTACCAAAGATTTCGTCCATTTCAGCGTAGAGAGGACACATATTTTCAAGTTTGTCCTCGATTGTTGTGATTCCAGCCTTCTGATCAGCTGGGGTCAGACCGAAGCCAGTTGACATAGATTTCGTATGAGCTTTCTTAGAGCATCCGCATCAGTGCGGGTCAAAGCTAGGGAGGATGGCAACGGTTAGCCACGTGACATAGCAACCGTCACACACCCGCCACATCGGTCATGACTTTTTCAGAACCAACCACCCCTCGACTGCGCTAGTAAACTACAACCATACACCACATCGGAATCACTATAGATGTCGCTCCGGTTCTTTCAACTCAAGGATCATGCGCAGAGACTTGCCGATTTTGATGAAGAAGCGGATGAACACAATCGTAATCTCATGAACATGCTCTTTGAAGACTCTGATGACGAAATCGAGGATCACAAGCGCCAACCTATCCTGAACCGTATTCCCAACAAGAACCGAAATGCCCTGGCTGGCCACAAGCAAGTCATGAATGACTACTTGGTCGAAAACTCGGTATACAGCGAAAAGGATTTTGAACACCGCTTTCGTGTGACAAAAGGTGTTTTTATTCGATTGTGCAACGACTTGCAGACAAAGAATTCAATATCTTATTTTATTCAACGAGCGGTGAGTAATTTGTTTTAGTAAGTTTTCTTAACTTGTTCTGATATCAATGATTCTATTCTCAAAGGATTGCACAGGGAAGCTGGGGCTCACAGCGCCTCAGAAGATAACCTTGGCTCTACGACAACTAGGATATGGGGTTTCCTTGGATGCAACAGACGAATACGTTCGCATTGGGGAAACGACTGCTTGCGAGACACTCAAAGTTTTTACTAGATCAATCATTGAAATCTACGGCTCAGAATACTTGAGAAGGCCAACTCAAGATGACTTGAGAGGGATCCTTTGAGAGAACGCAACCCGGGGCTTCCCAGGCTGCTTGGGAAGCCTCGATTGTATGCACGTTGGGTGGAAGAACTGCCCCCAAGCCTGGGCTGGACAGTTTACTGGAAAAGAAAAAGAACCGACAATAGTACTTGAAGCAGTTGCCATGAAGGACCGGTGGATCTGGCACAGCTTCTTTGGCACCCCAGGAACAAACAACAACATCAATATTCTAGATCGGTCACCACTCTTCAATGATGTACTCAACGGTCAGGCACCCACCGTTTCTTTCTCTCTAGATGGCCATCGATTTGACTCCGGCTACTACCTCGCCGATGGGATATACCCATCGTGGTCGGGATTTGTTAAATCAGTTCCCAACCCTTCCGACTCAGACTTAGCCACCAAGAATTTCAACTCAAATCAAGAGGCAGTCCGAAAAGATATCGAGCGAGCATTTGGTGGCCTTCAAAGCAAATGGCACATTCTGACCACCCCAATTCGGATGTGGTATGAGGATGATATCAAGTCAATTGTTTTGTGTTGTATTGTACTACACAATATGATGGTGGAGGAGGGGATCTCGGATTTTGTTAGCGATCCAAGTCCAGCGCCATCTGGTCAAACATTTTCTATTATCTCAGCAACACTATTGAACACCTTCCAAGATCACCGTCAAGTCGCAAATACCATCCAATCGGAACGACTCCATCGAGACTTGACAAACACTCTAATTAAGTGGCAATGGGACCAAAAGGGGAATCACCATTCCACCTGATCTTCAATCTGGTTATCTATTTTTTTTTCTTAATTTTCCTTTTTTCTCATGAAGTCATTCATCTCGTGTTTTATAAATTTTATGAGTTGTTTCATTGTTTCATTTTATCCTCCATGTAATTCTCACCCCTTGTGGAAGAAATGCATACATATCTGCGATCCAAAATCAAGTTGAGTATAAAAAAAAACGCAAGGGTGTTTGGACGCAAATTGTAGTCATTTCTAAAAAAAAGCGAAAAAAAATGATAGAGAGCAAGCAACTGGTTACAAAGTGATTTACCATAGAAGCGAGCAGAAGAAAGCTGTAAGAAGATGAAAGAGAGATTGAGGCAAAGAAAGCAGGAAGAAAATGTGAGAGATTGAGGCAAAGAAAGCAGGAAGAAAATGTGAGAGGTTGAGGCAAAGAAAGCAGGAAGAAAATGTATACCGATCATAAGAAGGCTGGGTCAATGTTGAGATTGTTGCAGGCATCACCAACTGGACCATTGTGGTCCTCGGCTCCCTCTTCTTCGTCATCAACCTGCAATTTGTTGGGTTCCAATGTAAGATTGAGGGGATCGTGATGAGATGAAGCAAGAGACTCGGTCCCGTCGTCTTGACTCTCAAGATTGGTTGACGATGATGGGGCTTGATTGTTGGTTGGTGGAGAGGGGGGTGGCTGATTCTCGGCCTCTTCCAACTTCTTGAGGATGACCTTCTTTGCTCTTGTGTAATAGGCTTGTTTGAATTCGTCAACACACGATGAAAGATCCTTCCCCAAAATGTCCATCTCCACGACCTTCTCTTGTAAGTCGTTCGCGCGCAACATTTCTTGAAATCTCTTCTGACTCAAATCGCGGCTCTCTTTGGCTGATGTCTCCATTAGTTTCAATTTCTTCTGGAGGAATTCGTTCTGGGTCAAAGCCCTTTTTGCTGCTTTGACCCCAGTCGGTCGTCTTCCATCGTTTGCGCTAGGAGAATCGGCAGCCTGTTGGCTAGTTGGTGTATTCGGCGGATTTGAAACAGTGCCACTGGATTGCGGCGGTGCTGGTGAAGCTGATTGTGATTGTGAGTTGGGAAGAAGGGTCGGCGCTGGTGTCTTATCCAACAGGATTCGCCATTTTGGGGCATCTCAGAGCTCCATCCACGCACTCTCAAAGATAAATGATTTTCCAGTTTGATCCGAGAAAATCGTCTTTGCCTGACTCAGCCAATCAAGTTTCTCACTTCCAGACGGTGGGTTGCGCTCGATGGATGCGTATATCCCACAAAATTTTGTCACAGCCGCCCGGAGCTTGGCCCACCTAAGAAACAAATTGTACAATATCAACAGAGTGAAATATAGAAATAGAAAGTTACCCTTACCTGGTTGAAAGATCTTTGCCTTCTCGGTGACCTCCAGGTGAGTTTTCATTGAAATGTTCGGCCGCATTCTCCCAGAACTGATCACGCTTCATCGCGTTTGCATAGATCGGATTCTGTGATGTGTGGAGCCAACTCCTTGCTAGTTGTGCATCCTCTTTGCTGAGACAGTTTGGTCCGCGGGCCATTTGATGTTTTGTTTTGGGTTTTCGATGTTGAAGAGGTATTTGTTGTGTGGAAAGTGGTGTTGTAGGGTATTTGAGATATAGCTTTGGGATATAGCATCCACTAGCTACAAGTTGCTGCGAAGTGAACTTTGAATATTCAGGATGCCCTAGCATTGTTGACAAGTACTCCCAAAGTTGGGGAGGGTTGGCGATGAATGCTAGAATATCTGGCAAGATTCGGTATCATAGCCGAACCGATGCGGTGTGTTTGTGGCTATATGTAGCAAAGCGCGGTGTTTAGCAGAGCTGATGCGGATGCTCTTATACTTGTCCTTGTATGACTTGAAACGAGCTTTCATCTGTCGGGGGGTAAGATTGATTTTAGTTGGAGAAACATTTTGGAGGTGAATCGCCATCAACTTGTAACCGTTTATCATCGCCTTTGGTCGTCGTCCAATCGCAGGAGCCTTCCCATTGCCAAAACAGGCAACATAGTTTTTCTTGTCTCTGAGCCAGTCGATGATGATTTCATAGTCCTCTATTTTTAGATGACCTTGGGATGAACCAAGTTCATCATTGTTCTTCTTTGATCGTGTATTTTTCGGAGTGGCCCTCTTCTTCTTTGGAGGGGTTCGAAGTGATTGCATGGTTGGGATTCTGGAAGCTTTTTTTGGAGGCATCTGTTGGGTGCATGTAGTGGAAAAAGAAAAAATTTTGTGAGGCCATTAAAATATACTTTGGTTCAGTTGAAGATAAATACCTTGAACTAATCAATTGATCAGACTTGGTTTGATGACGAGTGATGTGCAGGGGCAAGTTAAGAGGAGATATTGAAGAAGCCGTGGGGTGAGTGGGGATTGAATCGTGGAGGATTGAGGGAATCGTGATGGTTGGAATTTGAAATTTGAAATTCAGGAATTTTGGGCTAAAAAAATGGGTTGATTTATGCTATATTTGATATGCCCTGACAAAAGAATTAGGTTATTCGGTCACTGCAAAGGTGGATTTGGTAATTGTGGATTTCTCAAAACCAGTCAATTAAAAAGTGGTGAATTTCGTTATATTTGATACCCCCTAATAATACTAATAAAACTAAATAATATGATACTACTATTCAATTATATAGATTCGTAGAGGTTGTCATAGAGTAGTATTCTACTTTTCACTGAGCTTAATTGGCTACCACCTGGTAGTTAAACTTTATATCCTAACTACCCCAGTACGTTGGCTAATTGGTCCCCTTGTCTTCTACTTTATAATTGATTCTTGAGTATATAACTATTTGATCCGGAGTTCTACTAGGTATATCTAAGAACTAAGTAGTATAAAGCTAACAGAAGTTAATTATTCAAAGATATGTTCTTTTATCATGTGGTCAAGACAGGTAAGTTTCCTGCCTAAAACTAACTAAAATTCTACTAAAATAGACTATAAAAATCACTACAGTGGTTTAGATATATTTAAATCCACTTGCTAAACGACAGGATCCTCTATCACGTTGGGGACTCCCTTGTAAAGCTCAAAAGTGTTTGTGAAAACCTTTTGCTGAGTGTGGAAAGGGATGAATGAAGATACCTCTGCCTTTCCTGGATCACTAGACACTAGACAAGCCCACCAATCTTAGATTGGAAGGTTTGATAAAGTGATATTGGAGTGTATCAAAAGATAACTGTGGCTTAATGGGTGGACAAAGGGTTTAACCCAGTTTTATAAGGGTCTAAAAGGTTGATTTTAGAGTGAGAGAGTGAGTCTAGCTGATATGTCAATTTAAGGGGATGGTATTTAATGGTATGTAAGGGTTTGTAAGGGTAGGGGGTATGAAATAGGTGGATACTAAACTGAGGGGAAAACAACTGAGATGAGAGCCTATTAAATACACAAAGGTGAGGGATTTTATCTTCAGGGGAACAAGAGAATGAGAGATTTTAGCTGGCCAGAGCTTTACAATGAGGGGATTTACGTAGTCAGATATTTTGGCTGGTTGAGCAACCTACATGATGTCATAAGAGTTATTTTAGCTTGAAATAGAAGTCTACATGAGGGTTTTATGCTGGTGTAGCATTTTACATGAGGTGATGTACTAGTCTGCAAGCTAAGGTGAGGTGATGAGTATTACATGAGTGGTGTGAGATAGTGTGAAAGCTGCAAGGAAGATTAACAAGTGACATAGCAACAGGACCAGCCTAGAAGCTACATATGTCAAGTGTCAGAAGATAGTGTAGTTGTGTGTATACCTGTACTATAATGGTGTGATTATGTAGTTGTCCTGCAACGTGCATGTGTGTAGTTTGAATTAAGTAATTTGTTGAGGTTGTTGAGTGTTGAAGTGTTGCCATGGTGGTGAGTTGTGTAATTGAGTGTAGTGATGGTTCAGAGAGTGTAGCTTCCAATCCAGTTGAGTTACAGTGACACCTCCAGTGGTGACCAAGGGTGAAATTGACCATAGAATCCAGTTCTTGAGCCATATTGTGTGATTTGTGAGTGTATATATGAGAAAAAAGGTGTAATTGTGTAATAAAGAAAAGAACAGTATAAAATTTTTAAATTGGCCAGATGGCTACCCTTAAGGTATACCACAGCGTCTCAGGCGTTCATCCTTGCGTTCTCAACCACCTGTGCCCGAAAAATTCTTTCATCCCAAATGGAGGAAAGCTGTGGGTTAGGTTTAGGGTTAGGTTTAGGGATTGGGTTTAGGGTTAGGTTTAGGGTTAGGGTTAGGGATTGGGGTTAGGGTTAGGTTTAGGGATTGGGGTTAGGGATTAGAGCTGGTTTTTGAGCTGGTTTTTGAGCTGATTTTTGAGCTGGATGAGCTGGATTTCAGAGCTGAATGAGCTGGATCCCAGAGCTGGACGAGCTGGATGAGCTGGATTTCAGAGCTGGATGAGCTGGATCCCAGAGCTGGATGAGCTGGGTTCAAGAGCTGACTGAGCTGGTTTCAAGAGCTGACTGAGCTGGGTTTGAGGGCTGACTGAGCTGGGTCCAAGAGCTGACTGAGCTGGGTCTGAGAGCTGAGTTGAGCTGACTGAGCTGGATGAGCTGGGTCCAAGAGCTTACTGAGCTGGATCAGCAGAAAAAGTTGGTCGAGCTCAGCTCCAGCCATTTTCCATTCCAAGTGGATGATGATAACATGATTTTACTCCATTTGGGATGGAAGGATTTTGCAGCCAAACCTCTTCTTGACAGAGACGGTTGTCCTTGCGTTTGGCTTGCAGTTCCGCAATCAGAAGTTCTGTCTGCAAAGGTTTTGTGTGTTGGTGTGGGGGGTCTGCACAACACCAGTTGGCCAAGGAGGACCCAGTTGGTTTGTCCGTGATCCGTGAATGAAAATGTGTCTCCACTGGGGCATTGTCCAAGGCGGCAGGTGCTTTGCCTTTGCTTGAGGCACCCAACGGTAGGCAATTATTTTTGCTGCCTTCGAGAATGGTCCGTCCCAATTTGTGTTGGAGAGCTTCAGAGGCATCAGTGTTCTTTTTTGATGCAAGGGCTTGGCGGATTGCTTGGGTCTTAGGGGTCAATCTGGAAATAGTTGCTGCGGCTCCTGAGATTGTACCAGCGGGCTTTGGTGCTAGTTTGAAGTCACAGTTTGAGTCGTCAGACATGGCCAATATGTGAGGAGGATGGTGAGGTTGAGGGGAAAAAGAGATAAGGGGAAGAGAAAAAAGGAATTGCCATCGGTCGGCGCAGGTGGTCCCAGACTTGCGGGTAACCTCAACCTAGTGAATCAGTGTGAGTAAGGTTCTCAACCATGTCTAGTACTGCTATCAGTATGTTTGGTTACGGATAATCTGTCCAATCTCAATCCAAGCTATTACATTCACCAAACTTTCTGAAACAATATTTTGACTCAGAAGCAAAAGCTTACTTCTGACACTTTGGAAAAAGGTTGAGGTGCCGCTCCTCTGAGTCAATATTGGTCATGGAGAGAAGAGAAGGAGGGAGATTGGGAAAGTGGGTGGGCAATAGCTCGCTGGTGCACTACGGTAGTTAAGCTTGCCTGGAAGGGACTACTAACTCGCCCTGTCGGAAGGGCTAATGGACTTGTGACTGATGTAGGCTACTGAATTGTCTTTTGTAAAGGTTGATAGTATATCCAGGCTACTCTAGCGAGAGGCTCATAACCTGTTAGAGTGTGAGCTCAATAGATATGATGATTTTCATTCATGGAAGGAAAATCTTCCAACTTGAACTATCTACAAGTCTGTGACATGTGTCGCAGTTGAGACCTTGACCTATGTCACAACAATTGTGTCCAAGACCATAACATACCCATGCTTAGTTGTCCTGGCAGCCTCCCAGAAGTTGTTGTCAGGCATGTCAAACAGCCTTTCCAAGTCAACTTCTCCTTGTGATTTAGGTGCCCACCAGAGATTGAGGTATCTATTTGACAAAACAAACTGTAACAGATCTTTGTACTCAATGTTCTTGCCAAACAATGTCTTCATAATTGATTGCAACATCTGGCTTTGCAGAAAGGCCAATTGAGTGATATCTGTCAAACAATGATGCCAACAGTGTTCTCAACCATCATGTCAGTCTCTTCATTTTCCAGTATTAATAAGATGTCACAAATGAGGCTTTGCCGTTTGGAATACTGCCGCATAATTCTGGAAGTCTGTTGTTAGTAAGGCAAAGTACCTATGCACAAAAAATTCAAATTATGTACCAGAATTCAAAGGACACTGTTAAAAAGTTGGGAGTTATGGTTGATTTGGCAATGTAGTAGACCTGGTGATGGATGATGGATAGTTTTGTAGTGTGGAGAGTCCAAGAGAGGGGTCAAAGCAGGTTGGATGTACACAGATGTGGCTGTTCCGCTGTTTCCATCTGATTGTAATTGCTAAATCACAAATTAACACCATTTTTCTCTATCATCATGCTGGTTCTGTTTCAGCAAAGTGACTACTAATCAAGACGTGAACCATCCTAGTATTCAACAACAATCTTTGGTTTTTATGCATATTGATCATTCCCATCAAATTTTGCACCTCTTAAAGTGTAGGAAAGAAAACAACTTAAAATGTCAAAAAATAATAAAAACTAAGCTGTGAAAAATTAGTTGAAAAATGGATTTGACCATAAAACTCTACACACTTGATTAGAGTGTGGGAAACAAATTTAAAATTTCCAAAAAAAAAAAGAAACATGAAAAATAAGTGGGAAAAAATCAATTACAAAAAACGTGTCCAAATGCAGAAACCAGGTGCGCTGTTTGCAGCAAAAACCGGCATGTTTTTTTTTGCTGAGGCCCTAGAAATATAGTTTTCCCTTGGGGGAGTTCTTCATCTCATTCTCATTTCAGGATCAGTCGGATCTACAGGATGGTCTCAATCAAGTCAAGGACATTATACAAAGTGACCTGCCAAAGAAAAGCCAGATTCTGTGCTATAAATTGGACTTGATGACACATATGAGGCTCACTTCACAAAGTGCCTCCAGCCCTCTCATGTGTCAAGGGGGGGGAATGGATAAGCTAATAATAAATATTGCTTCCAAACAAGGCATTGGATATTTCTATCACTAGGATTATTCACAACATGAAGTGTATCATTTTTAAAAAAAAAAAAAAAAAACACTACAGCTGGGGAGACCAAAACACACACACACAAAAAATGTCTATTATATTAACAAGGAAACAACAGCAAAAAAAAACAGAAAGCTATTTACAAGAGGAAGATTGAGAAGAAAGAAAAAGTATATTTACATATCAAAGTCTGCAATAATTACAAGAAACAAACAAACAACACAATTTTTTACACTTCTTTTGCTTGATTAGTTTTCAAAAAAGAGAGAGGTGAGGAAAGAAAGAGAAAGAGAGAGAAAAAAAGATGTTTTTTTTTTGTTTTTGAATGGATGGACATCGAGTTGGTTAACTAGAGGGTATGAATTTTTTTTTTTGAAGTACAAACAATACCAAAAAAAAACAAAAAAACAATCTTGCGAATTATGTGAGTTGAAAAGATCAATAATGAGGAAAGAAAAGCTGAGAGAGAGACGAGCAAGAAGAAGAGAGAAAAGAAGGGGGGGGGGGAGATAGGATCCAAGAACAAGGGGGATAAATCACCAGATCAGAAGGAAAGGATGGTAAGAAAGAAGAGAGAAGAAGAGAGATAAAGAGAAAAAAGGAAAGTTCAAAGAAGGACGAGAGGAGGAGAAAGTTATTGATTAGCAAGAGCCGATTTGCGTCTAGAGAGTTCCAGGTTAGCTTCATCGACCAAACAGCGCGCCTCGTTCTCGATGATCGAGTCGGTATCAGTCTTGCCATCCTCGGAGACCTCAAGCTCTTTCTCTCCATCAACCGCTCCACCACCTCCTTCTTCCTCTGATTTTCCTCTAGATTCATCCGCTTCATGAGCCTCTTGGACTTGCTCTTTCTTCTCTCCTTCGCCCTCTTTCTCTCGATTCGCCCCGCCCTTCTCAACGCTTGTCTCTGATTTCCCGACAACTCCGCCTCCTCCTTCTTCGGAACGGAAAAATGCATGGTTCGAAAGCTCCATAGCCGTCGGTCTCGCATGATGATCACTACACACACATCCCAAAAAAACATAATTAAGTAGGTAGAAGTCTTGAAATCGGGAAAAAGTAGACTTACATTAAGAAAGTTTGTTTCAATAAATCGATACATTCTTCTGAAATATCATCAGGGATTTCAGGTGTAGCAAATGAACCGATCTAAACTCCACCAAATAAAAAACAAAAACCGCAGAGATAAGAGCGAGTCCCCAAAGAGAAGAGAAGAGGAGAACCAAGGAGACGGACCCTAAAGATAGCTTGCATCTGAGTAAGACTAGCCCAAGGGTGTTCACCAGTAAGCATCTCGACGATCAAACAACCTAGGGACCAAATGTCGGCTTTGCGCGTATAAGAAGTCTGCTTGACCACTTCAGGGGCCATCCAGAAGACCGATCCTTGTAACGAAGGTCTATGAATCCTTGCAGTCGATAACAAATCTATTGATCATCATTATCATAGGGTTTTAATCACTCAGTTTTTCTCTTTTGTTTTCTTTTTATGGAATTGTAGAGGGGTGGGGACAAAGTTTTGAACTGACTATCTTCAACTCGTTTCGAGATCCCGAAATCAGAGATCTTAATGACGCCCTTATTATCGACGAGAATATTGGCGCCTTTGATATCGCGATGGATGATTTCCTTAGAATGGAGATAGATAAGTCCATCGAGGATCTGTCTGGTGAACGAATTAACCAAGGCCTCCTCGAAGGATCCGTAATTCTTGAGCAAAGTTGACACCGAGCCTCCGGGAACATATTCCAAGAAGATATTGAAGAACGCATTGTCGGCTGAAGAGTCTAGATATTGGACGATATTCGTGTGTTGTAATTCTTTCAAAAACTCGATCTCTCGTACTAAGGCTCCCAACATCGACTTCTTCCTTTCTTCATTGTGTGACGTTCCACTCGGTCGTTCGACTTGTTTGACTGCCATTAATGTCCCATTTAATGCATGCATACCCAAATATACCTATGTAATAACAAACACATCCATTTAATTTAGCCTCTCTTTTCGTCTTTCTTTCTCGGTTTCTTTTAAGAAAACTCACACTTCCGAAACTTCCTTGCCCAATCAAAGCCCCTCTGACCCACTTAATCGACGCTTTAGCTAACCATTTCACAAGATAATCAACAAACTCCGATCAATCTCTATCTGAAAACAGATTGTAATAAAAAAAAAAAAAGCGACTGACATCCACTAGAAGTCATTTTCTGAGGATCGTCATTAGCGTCTTTATTTTCTTCGTCATCATCATCCTCATCATCTTCGTCATCATCATCATCGTCATCGTCATCATCATCTTCCTCATCTTCCTCATCATCCTCCTCCTCATCATCCTCATCATCCTCTTCATCCTCTTCATCTTGATTGTCTTGATCTTGATCAACACGACCATCCGGTTTAAGGGTATCAGAGGCCTCATTCTCCTCCAAAATGGGGTCCTGGATTCTAGTAGAGCTCAAAGACCGTCTCGTCGGTGCCGGTTTATGACCACCAGCCGGATGAGAATGACGATCATCGAGCTCGTTAGATGGGTCATCGGTCGAAGAAAGAACGGGGTCCGAAGGATTCTTGGAAGTCAATAAACCGGACAAGCTTCCCCAATCACTGACTGAAGAAGATGAAGATTTGCTCGGAAGGAGTCCGGGAACCCCGAGGGCCATGATACTAAGTCTTCGATTCTCCACCTCAGCCGTCACTTCATCCAATGTAAGAATCGACGTCAGGTCAGAGTCGCGTTGTTTCCGGGTCGAAAGACGGTTATTAGAGATCGCTGGATCCGGCAAGGAATTCAGAGTATCCAACGACGCTCGTGATCGATCCATTGGTTCACTAGTCTCTGAGAAATCAGCAATCGAGATGTGAGGTGAACTGCGTTCCTCGAAGGATTTGGAGGCCGTAATATGAGTCGACCGATTCGAGTCGGTCGATAAACGTCCAGGATGATTTTGTTGTTGAGGTTGTAATGGAAGAGACGGATAAGAGGACATATCCCAACTCGTCGTTCTCCCTCCATTACCACCACCGCCACCACCACCAGGCAGATTGTTATTATTGGAGAATTGACTGGACCTTCTGATCGCCATCGATTTCCGGACGGATTGCCGGACAGTTTTGGAGAGATGTTTCTTGTTCTCGACCGAAGGAAAATAATCGACCAAGTGATTTGAGATGATTTCTGAAGGAGGACGATGGCCGAAGAAGTTACGCAATTTGCCACGTCCGCTGGCCAACAGACTTGTTACTCTTTCTCCTCCTCCTCCAGCAGCAGTACCGCCAGAAACTCCATCCTCGGGATGATGATTATGTGAGCCATGTTGTTGGAGCGAGGCTTGATAATCCGGAGGTAATGGTTCTGAATGACGAGAAGGATCGATCATCAATCCCGACATGACACTGACGACGCTAGCCCGATTACGAGTTTTCCGGGGGGCCGGAATGTCGGGCTTAGTCTTGCCCTCCATGCTTCCGCCCTCATCTGCCCCGGTCAGTGGCTCGCCACCCTCCCTGATCTCTTGCTTAGATTGCTGATGCGCCGATAAGGTCGGCGATGAGCCTGCTATTGTTGGCGACATCGTCGGAGATACCCCCGAGACGACTATCTCTTCTGCCCCGAAGTACGGCGAGGCTGCCTTCCGATTTGCTCGTTTTCCAGTTGCTACATAATGTAACAATAGTCCTCTCTGTCGTTCTGGCCGATTGGTCGTCCTACATAATTCCAATAATTCATTTTCATCTAATTGTTTAATAGTACCTACGATGGGGAAAAGAACATCAGAAGGGTGCTTATTCAATGAGAGATGTTGATGATAACGACTCAACCCCAATTGAGTTCTCCAGGTACAGCATTGAGAGGCATGGGAGAAAGAGCCCAATCGTCGAGATTAACGGATCGACCGGCCGAAGCTTGCCCAGAGGCATTGATATTACCGAATTTACGAAGGACACGATCGAGGAGATCGACAGCGGATTTAAGGTTTTCGACGTTGATAGTTTTCATGATCCCATTTTCGGCGAGGGTGACTTTGATAGTCTTACGGATGACTTCATCCAAAGTGGGTTGACAAACTGGTCCAATTTGTGAAGTCGTTCCGGCTACTACACCTACCGTTCCAGCTGCTGTCGTAGGTCTTCCAAACCCTCCTCTTCCTACTTTGAATCCTATCTCCCTCGGCCCTGCTGCCCCATAGATCTCTCCCATTCCTCCTCCTCCTCTTCCACTCCCATTCTCTCCACCCAAATTCCCAGCTGTACCGTCCTCTAGAATGCATGTTAATCCGACTGGATTGCTTCCAGGTAATGTTCCCGTGTTCAGACCACGACTAGGCGATCCTGTACCTATGTGTACAATTTTGTTTGAAAGAAGTGAAAAAAGGGTAAGAATTATGCAATAAAGAAAAGAAGGGGGGAAAAGGAGACTGACTGGTAGGACTCGAACTGGCCACTGTATTACTAGAAGAAGGGTTATTATTACCAGGTGAGGGGACGATCGAGATCGGTTTGGAGTTAGAGCCGATGGAAGTACTATTCAAACTAGGCGCCCTACGATGGTCTGATGTTTTCAAGAATAAGGAGGTCTGAGAGACCGGAACGGCGGGAGGGGTCGCAGCGCCGGAAGAAGAGCTGGAGGAATTAGTGGCCATCGACGTTTTCCTGGTGAGTGCGCTGCCAAGGTTTCCAGGAGCGGGAGCACGAGGGAGGCCGAAGTCGCCGTTCCATACGGCAGGATGACCTATAGTTAGGGGGAGACAAGGATCAGTATGAGAGGAAGTTGGACTAGATAGGAAGAGAGGGAGAGGGCGCTCACGCGTCGCGGATGTTGATGAGGGAATGGGAGAGGGGGAGGGAGTGAGGACTGAACCTGGATCGGTGGCTAGCCTATTCCTACGCGATCGACCTCGGTCACTAGCACTGAGATATTCAGAGGAGGGTGGGTTCCAACTAGATTCGAGTTGGCGCTGGTTGGATGTTGTTGTTGCTGCTGCTGCTGCTGCTGCTGATTGGTAGGATGTTGAGGAAGTGCAAAGTCAGAGTTATAATTCCCACCCGAGCGTGGAGATGGGC